TCCACATATATTTGGGGTTGGTGTCTGGCCAGCCTCATTCCTCCTGTCTCTATCCAGACTGTTGGAAATTTTCAAAGCCAGGTGTCCATATCTGGGTTGAGAGTAGATTTGTGTTTGTGAATGCAGTACTCCTTCTCCAAAGGCATTTTTAAGAACATTCCAATGGCCTTTCCATCTGGGTGTTTGATGTGAGTGCCTGCATCAGTAAAATGGATATGTGCTCTCATTTTAGTGAGCAAGTCACACCCCAGCAAGGGATATGGACACTCAGGAATGACTAAGAATGAGTGGGTTACCCATCCTACTCCCAAGTCCACTGTTCTCCAGGTAGTCCATTTATAGGGTTTGGTGCCCATTGCACCTTGCACCCAGGTCTGTTTTCTAGACAAGTGGTCCTCAGGAGTCAACAGTACTGAAATTTCTACCTGTGTGTCAAACATGATTTGGATAGGTTTCCCCTCCACTCTTAGGGTTACCCTAGGCTCGGCGATGGGAGCCCAGACCTGTCTTTCCTAGTCACTGTCTTCTTCCAAGGCAGCAAGGATGGGGGTTGGCTTCCTTCCCAATTCTGTTGATGATTTTCTTTCGTTTCTTATTTTGCGTCAGTCTTTGGCCTGTCCTTCTCCCTTGCAGTACCTGCATTGATTCTTTCCTAACTTAGGCCTTTCCCTTGTCCTCCTACCACAGAGGCAAGGAGAACTTTTTCCATGTGAACTTCTTGTCTGTTCAATATTTTGGTTAGTTTACTTGCTTGCTGTGAGGAGCCATTTCCCTCCTAAAAATCATTACAGGAACCATCACCCTGGGGAGTCTGCAGAGAACCCCACACCCATAATTATGTTAAGAATTGTTCTATTGACAAAACCTGCCTCACACCCAATTAGCTGTTATCCATTAGCGGAACCCGCCTTACATTCCAGCTATCCAGGGAACTAGGTGTGTCAACTCCTGACTTCTCCCTGACCTGACCTAACGGAACCTCCTGACCTACGTGACCTGGACCATGTGACAAGAGTCCAGGCCCCTGTGCCCCCCCCCCATTCCTTACCCTATATAAATTGTAACCAGGATCCTAATAAACGGAGGCTGTGACAAACAGCATGGCCTCCTCCTTGTTTCCTAGCCCATTTCTTTTCCAGATAGTACCCCTCCGTGACCCTGGAGTAACTGATTGCAGGGTGAGTTACAAACCACTAGACTGAGTAACCCACCCCAACGCAATTGACAGTGGCATCCGAGCAGGGACCACTGTATATCGACAGTGGCGCCCGAACCAGTGACTCGGAGTACGGTCAACTGTCGGACGACATCGCGCGGTCCCGGGACAACAAGAATAAAAAAGAAGATTCTGCGGCTGTAGGACTAGGACAGATCTGCAGGACGAGAGGTAGGCGCAGGTTCACCGTCGTCCAGTAAGGGATGAGACAGTCACATTCAAAGGGAGAGAAATTCATACAGAAATTTAATCAATCAATCAGGGAAAGAAGGGTAAGAGTCAAAAACAGAGATTTATGTGTTTGCTTTAGGTGTTTGCTTGTGGACTCAAAAGGGAGTCCCTCGAGATGTGAGAAGTTAGGAGGCTGGCTGCTCAGAGCTAGAGAGCCTGCCATATGAAGCGAAAGCTGACAGGCAGGTTTGCTATAAAGGAGTCTAGACTCAAAACACTGCAGCTTCATTCAGGACAGTAAATATGCTTCTTTTCCATTTTAAAAATCTTGCTTCTTGGTCAAAAATCTTTAGTTTGTAGGTTTATAAGTTTATATCTAAGGTAGATTAAGTTCAGTACTGTGTTTCTGTAGGAAAGTTTTAAAGTCAAAGATTGTGATATATTTAGAGGGTTTTTAGAGTTGTTTAGGCTATCCTGAGTTTTTATTTCTTTCGTATAAGGTTGGGGATTGTTCTTTTGAGTTCTATATTGTTCTTTTGAGTTCTGTAAAAAGTTTTGCTATAATTTTAATGAACATTTACATTAAATCTGTACGTGAGTTCTGTGAGGAATGTTGCTATAATTTTTAATGGACATTTACACTGAATCCGTAAACTGCTTTCAGTGAAATTGTCATTTTTGCTGTGTTTCTTCTGCTTTCCCAAGAAAGTAGGAGATTTTTCAAGATTTAAAGTTCTTATCCTACAAGTTTTTCCAATTGTATGGCCTGCTCTTGGGTGGGAGTCGTAATGTTTCAGCTTGAGGTCCTTTCCTGCTGCCAGGTGATGCTTCAGGCTAGATTGCTGAGACTCAGGCCTCAGGCCTCTCACTAAATTTATCAAGGGTCAGAGTTACAAGTGATAAGGATTAAAAATAAAAAAATAATAAAAAAAAACCATTTCCGCCTTCACAGGCAGAGATGACGGGACCCAAAAACTTCTGTCTTGCTTGCTTAATGGTATTCATGGGTATTTTAAAAGGATAATGTCTCATTTATCCTAGATGTAAAAGAGGTACATTTGGGTTTTCAAATTCTGGCTATGATAAAGTAGTTCTGCTCTGGGCATGGCAGAGCACGTGTCCTTGTGCTCTTTGTATTTAGGCCCAAAAGGAGTATTGCTAAGTTTTGAGGTAGATATTTGCCTAATTTAAAAAAAAATAGACTTAATGGGGGACCACTCAATGCTGGGGAGACTCTCATTCAGGTCTTGGGATGGCGTGGCCCTACCATGGTTCGCCAAAGACCCTCCTTGCTGACAGCTTGCCTTCTGTCTCTCTTTTCCTCCCTTTCTTGATGTTCTCTTTCCCTCCTCTCTTCTTTCTTGTCCTCTGTTTCTCTCTTATTATAAACCAATTCTGCCACTGCTACTAAATCTCTTATACTTTTTTCTCCTAGTCTGTCTAATGACTGTAATTTTCTCTTAATATCTGGTGCTGCTTGATTGGCATAGGCTAAGATAACAGCCTGCTGTGATTCCTCAGACTCAGGGTTGTAGGGGGAATATTGTTTAAAAGCCTCCATCAACCTTTCCAGGTATGCATCCTTTCCCTGCTTTACATTATAAACTTTTGTCATATTAGTGGGCTTGAGTGCCACTGCTTTTAGACCCCCCAGTAGAGCCTGGTGGTAGATACATAGACTCTCCCTACCTTCTGCCATGTGGAAATCCCAGTTAGATGGGTTGCTGAAAAAGCTGCCGTGGTTAGCACAGGGTCCACTAGGGGGGAGCCAGTAGGTCCTTGAACCAGCTTCTGGGCATTCTCTAGGATCCTGTTTCTTTCTTCAGTCATGAAGAGAACTCCCAACATCTGCTGGCAATCATCCCATGTTGGGGCATGGGTAAAAAGAACAGTTTCCAACTGGTTAATCAAGTCCTATGGGTCTTTGGGGAATGATGCATTCTAAGCCTTCCAATTATATAAGTCACTGGTAGCAAAAGACCAATAATGGAAGGGTTGGTTTTCTGAATCACCAGGATGGTCAGCGGGTCTGAGGGTAAGGGTCATCATGGAGTCTGGGTGTGGGGTCCCTGCCCTCCTGCTATGGGTAGATAGTGCCAGTGGCCTTCCTCCCTCTGCCCCTGACTGTTGGGAGGCTGAAGCCTTTTCCACAGGAGCCATGAGATGCTCAGCTGAAGGAAAATAAGGTGGTGGGAAAATCTCTATCTCCTATGATCCTTCCTGGAATACAGTGGGTAGCTTTGTTCTATTCTCCTTTGTACCTGTCAGAGGAGCCCTAGTCTTAGCAATCAAGACTTGGGTCCACTGTGGGACTAAGAATGGTATAATACAAGGGAGGGGGCCTCCTATTCTATCTATTAACCCTGGCCGGGTGACAATATAAGGGACTTGGTCAGGGTAACCACCATGGGTGTGGAGAATTATCTCCTCCACTCAGTGGATGGTTGCTGCATTGAAGGTCCTGCTGGCTGGTCATCCAACAATAAATGTGGGCCATTCATGTGTACAAAGGGTGACCCACTTCTTCTTCTTGACAGTTGCTCTGTGGTTGCTTGTGGTGTCCTGTATATCTTTCCAATGTGTAAGAGTTAAGCTTAGGGGTGTTAACTGGGCATTCCCCATTTCTGAAGAGGAGGGTTTAAGGAAAACGCTAAGAAAGATAAAAATAAAACAACAATTAACACAACAAGACACAAATTTCAACACATTCCCGGGATTGAGCACGAGGTGGCACATCCTCTTTCTCCCTGTGTGGATAGATGTGTCCAAAACAATCCTAACATGACTCTGAATGTCCAGGAGGGGCTCCTCTTGATCACTTCTTGGTGCCTGAAACCGATCGGCTGCCTCTGAGGTGGCTGCAAATGACCCAGGACTGGGAGAATCCCCATCCCTGTCTACAAATGACCATGAACTAAATTCTAGAAAAGAGGCATCTCTCTTTCCAACCAGGTTCACTGTATAAGTACACATGCTCAGTAACAACCTGCCAATTTCAAAATCCCAAATTGGTCAACTGCTACAAAACAAAAGTACCAAAGCAGCCACAGTCAGACAGACAGGACAACTAATAGACAAGAAAAGAGCACTCTATTAGGGGCAGATGTTAATGAGCTGAACATCTGGGCTTATGTCCTGGTGGAGTCCCTGTGGGGGGCTTCCAGACCAACACTCCAAATGTTGTGCCTAGAGCATTCCCTTCCCCCAAGAGGGAGACCATCAGAAAGCAGAGCTGACTGGACTGCAAATGGCAAAGTTAACTCTTTTATTGCAAGTACAGGCGAGTACAAGCGATTACTGGCTGGCCAGGAACTTCTTCACTACTCCAAAACAACAAGGTAGAGAGAGAGAGAGAAAAGTTAAAAATTCTTTGTGGGGTTAGTTTTTAAAAGGTGAAACAACAAAATGGCTTTTTGAAGTGGCTTTTGGTGTGGGTGCAAGGTCTTTTGCTCCCTCCCATCCTAAGTCAGCTCTCTCTTTGTTTTCTTTATCACCAGGTGGCTAGCTGGGCTAAGTGTCCTTTTGCTCTAAATCCCCCAGGTGGGAGGGGGGAAGGAAAGTGCTGCTAGTTTTTGTTTCTAATTTTAAAACATTCTGCTAGGAAATTCTCGTCCCTTTAAGAATAAGGGGTAAGGGTCTCTCAAAATCTAGAGATAATAAATTCTGTGTGGTGCTAGGCATGCACTTACAGAATTTTGGAAAGATCATATATAGGTGTACAAAAAACTGAGATACCGAGATACCCTAAGGTTCAGTCAGCTTCACTAGGCAACACCCTCCCAATCTTTTGCCTACAGGTAATGATCATGGGTTAAACACCTGTGGGGGAAATGAAATAAATCTCAACTGGACTGAGAACATATAGCTTGGTACAGGAACAACACAGAACAGTGCTAATCAACTTTGAGACCTCCAAGTGGAGGGTTTTTGGAGTTTGGTATGCATGCATTATACTAACAATTCAGTGGATTGAAGCTAGCCCTGTGAAAATAACAAGATTTGGGCAATTACCTCAACTAAAATATGGCAAATACTGGAGGATATGGATTTTAGATATCAAACCAAAGCTATAGCTTTATCAGTAGTACTTTTGGTAGTGACAAACCATTCAAAAATAAAATTAATGAAAAAAAAAAAAACAATCAAACAACCTTGACACAATAAAAATTTACCAAGCCTAAAAGTTCGCTGGAAGAAAGATGAAAATGTAATCTGTTCTTGTGTTGAAAATTTTAAGGAAGTTTTCTAAGTATGTGTGTAGAATATTTAAAAATACCATAGTATTTTCATGTACCTCAATAATAGGACCATAATCTGTTAAAACAATTCCATTAATGCAATCTGATGGTCTTTAGCATTTTCGTGCCTCTGGAGTACTACTAGTATGCTGTATTTGATGTGCATGTACCGTAAGAGCACAATGCACTGATCACAATTTGCATTCTCTTCTATGTTCAAAGGCATAACATGTATGAACCAAGCTCGTTCCCATTATGAAAGTAAATTAGAACTAATGAAAGAAGTAAAAAGAGTAAATTGATTGTGCTTTTGTGAAGCAAAGGAAACCTGTGTTATGTATGGACTATCTTAAGACAATAGGTGTAAAATTATCAGGATCTAGTCCTGAATGAAAATTTTAACTAAGTTGCTATATGTTGCAAGAATTTAAGCATAAGCACATCATTTTCACTACAATGTTATGTAGTATCTAAGCAGTGATGTACTGAAAGCAAAGATGTAAGAATTTAGCCAGTCTTTCCAAAGCTACTGCAGTTTTAAAATAAAAGCTATCAACAGTCTCAGATAATCAGGTTGGGACAATTTCCATTTATTTGTTTTAACCCTTGTTATGGTCTCCAAGGATGAGGTTTAGGAGGCACTTGATGTTTCATTTTGGGAAAATCTTCAGAATTGTCCACACGTGGAGGATGGGAAGTAGATTTTGTATTACGAAGAGCATTTCTTTTCTGAAAAGTCTTAGATGTTTCTGCAGCTATGTGACCAGTACCACCATGCTTAACATGCTCCAGTGGAGGTTCATACTTTCTAACAGACAGGAAATGCTTCTCAAGAGTCAAGATATAGTTAATTGCGTCTTGTACATTACAAGATGATCCACTCACAATGATGCTGGAGTTAGTACGGGTTGCTTTTGAAGGTACACGGATATCTACTTGGAATTGTTCCATGATTTTATGGATGGATTTTCCACCAAATCCAATAATATTGGCACAAACATGATGGTTCAGTGGGATTTCCTTAGAAACTGTTTTTTCAATTTTACGCAGCATTTTCATTATTGCATCTCGCACTCCTAGGATGTTGTCTTTAGAACCTGAAATGGTAATTTGATCTTGTATTGGATCACTTCCTTTCTTTGCATGATGAACAGTAACATCATATTCTGTGCAAATCTGGGAAATAAGCATACTGTTATTACCAAAGATCTTGGAATGATATTTGGGATCTAAACTGAATGTTTGCCTAAAATTTCGTAATGTCTGGTCATCTGTTTCCATTTGTAAAGCTTTTACTTGTTTTTGCAACTTCATCTTGGCTTGTTCTACATTTGCTTCCATGCCTGTAATGGATATGATATGAAAATTTCCTCCGGGTTGTGCTACCTGAATATGAACTTCAAATTCCTTTATTAGCTTGCGTAAACCACTTCCTTTGTGCCCAATTATGTATGGATGTAGGTGAAAAGGTACTTGGACTTCAGCAGTGACAGGAACAAGAGATTCCAGAGCTTGGGTGGCTGTTTTGCAGTTTTCAGCTTTTCCTGAAATAGTGTCACTCTTTTTTGGAGAAGTTGAAGTAGGCCCTTTAGTGTTCTTTTCCTCCTTTTCTTTTCCAGTATCTTGAAGCTCTAGATGTGTATTTGTAGTTGGTTTTTCTGCATCTGGAATCTTGATTTGAACTTTAAAATCTCTTGTAATTTGCTGAATTCTAGAGCATATAGGTCCCATGATAAAAGGATGGAATTTGGGGGGAACAACACACCGTGTTGTGACTTGGGAACCCAAAGGCTTAAATATCTCTTGAATATGTTTCTTCGCTGCTTCAACACAAGCCTTTGCTCCTTTTATTGTGACTTTTGTACTCTCTTTTCCTGCATATGAAAAGTTAATAAAAACTCCACCATATTCCTTAATTATTTTTTGTAAAAGCTGTCCCCTTTGCATGACAAAGTAATTGTGGAATTTGGGATTTATTAGTATGCTATCTTCTACCACATTCTCCAGATCTTTCAGTAAAACCTCTACCTCTCTTTGCACATCTTTAACAGCCTCTTCTGTCCCTATGATTGTTACTGATTCTTGATTCTTGTTCTTAAAGGTAGGGAAAATTATACGTGTTCCTGTCTTCTCACATATTTTATGAAGATTGATACCATTTTCACTCATAAGAAATTGATGATACTTTGACTTTACAGGGACAACCACAGAGTAATTCTTGGTTTGCTCTTCTGCAAGTTGCAGAAATTTTTTCTTAGCCTTTTCAACATTTTCTGCAGGGCCTCTAATAATGACTTTTTGAAGGCCCAATTTGGTACTTGGAAAATGAATATGGACTTTACCACATTCTTCCATGATTGAACTAATCAACAGCTCTTTAGAATCAGTAAGGGATTTGTGTAGACTATGAGGAATTGAAATTTCAACTTCAGACACTTTGGCTGCATTTTTATGCATAGAGATAATCCAGTTTCGAGTTACTTTACGGTTTTCTGGGTTTCTGAAAGTGATGCTATTCTCTGAGTTGCAACTTGATGATGGAAAGTTAACCCTCCCCCTTAAATTTAGGTTGGCAACATGGTTTTCCCTTTGGAAAGACCTATTTGGATATACAATGTATTGTCTTTTAGAAGTCATTGTTGATTTTCAAGTACTTGCAATTCAGATGTGTTGCAGCAGCTCCAAGACATAAAAACTTCTTGTAGTTATGTTTTATCATATTACTGTATGAAAAGAATAAATATTTAAAGAAACAATTTATTTCAAAAGTAATCAATAGGATAAAGACAATAAAATGATTATTTTATTCATTCATTTAATGAGTGAATTTGAATTTCACCTATTTATCTGTCCTTATATGAGCACAAGGTAAACTCAGATTTTTAGGACTGTATAGAAACATTCACAATATTTTCAAAAAATGTTACTCATTTAAGAATTCTTATGACATTCATAAACAAACCTCATTGTTTCAGACTCGTTTTTTTTACTTGTATAAGCTCTTATTTACAAAATATTATTGCAAAAATACAGTTATCTAAGTCTCTAAAAATACTGCATTTACTAATGATTTTTTTTATTTTCAGTAACAATTTTTAAAATTTATAACTTACAATTGAAAATAACTGCCTGGATCTTTATATAAATAAATTGTGGGCCCATATTTCATATAAAATAATTTATAGGCAGGCTCACTGGCCACTAGGCAGATGCAACCCTGCCAAACAAGTAAGACAGCTGCCTAACAAAGGCCAGGATGTATTGCTCCTTTCTCCTTTGTTAAAAATGTAGATTGCCTGGGGAGAGTTGTTTGTTAAAGCTGGTGACTAAGTTGCAGGTGTTTCCCTAGCACCCTAGCACCACCCCCTCCTTTGCCCAGAAAGAGAATATTAATGAGCTTCCACCTTCCTTTACCTGGGGGATAAAAGGTGTTTTGTATAATAAACACAGGTAGATCTTCAGGATGGATGAAGCCTGAGATGCCATTTCGTGATGACTGTGTAAACTGTGTCTGGTTATTTCTTGCACCTCCTTACCGGTTAAATTAGGAAAAAAATAACTTCTATGTTGGGGCCTACTGCCCCTGACAATAAACCATTGAAAAATTATGGGGGCTAATTGGGAAATGGGATATTGGAAAAATAGGAGAAGATAAGAGTGAAGAGTGTAACAAGGAAAATATAATAAAATAACATTTATATTTATGAATAATTGCAATAAAACCAATTATGCATAAATAATATGTAATTAATATGAAAGTAGAAAAATTAACACCTTCCATGTTTTCAATTTATGGGATTTTAACAAATTTAGAGTTATTAAGAAATGTCTTAATTCATCTGCAGAAGGTTTCCATCACCTACATGAGTTTCCCATGCTCATATACAGGAAAATTACATTTATCCCACCATATACAATGAAATTATAAATATATCTTGCCTACTCTGGTAGTTTCATAATAGTAAAATTATATGGTCTGCACAGTGGATAAGCCTCAATTACTTGTTTAAGTCCTGTTTTAAATCTTCATTTTTTGAGATACAATGCTTTATTCCTCTTTTAATTCTGAAAAAAATACCCCATTTCTGTTTATAGCAACATTAAAGATTGTTCTGACTCACATTCTTCCTTGTGTCCACCTCTTCTAATGGAATTCTACATATTGTTATTAATGCTTGCTTCTTTGAACTCTTTCCTTCCATAGTATTCTTTTCCTATATAATGTTATTTAGACTCATAACTCAGAATATGACTGAAATAACCACAAACCACTCCTAAATGTTCAATGCTATCTCTTAGCTTCCACAAGTGACCAGAGTATCATCAAATGAATACCTCAGGATTCTTTGAAACTTATTCTGTATTTTCAATTATTAATATCCAGATTTTATTGTTTTTAACTGTATTTTATTTTATTTTACTTTTTTCAAGATAGGCTTTCTCTCTGTAATAGCTTTGGATACTCTTGAACTCACTAGGCTCGTCTCAAACTCACAAAGATCCATATGCTTCTGGGATATGATCCCAGAAGTGCTGAAATTAATGGCATTTACTATCACAATCCAGTTTGAACTATATTTGAATTTTATAAATGCAAAATTATTTTTCTAAAGCTGACCAAATACTTATTACCATTATTTTTTTATTTCATTCATCCATTTCCATCACAGTAATAACAAGTACTGACCAAAATGTTGTACCTTCTCTCTCAACTTTCTTCTAATTCACTATGCTGTTGTTAAACTAGTTCATCTCTTGCTTGGTCTTTGTCTCATGTATTTGACTTGTAGTCCAAATAGATATATACTACTCTATTAGCTTTCTTTTTCCATTTGACATCTCTCTCTCTTTTTTTTTTTTTTTTTAACTTTTAAGGTAGCATCTGTTGTTCCTTTTGGAAACTACAGCTCCCAGACTCCTCCCGGATTACGGATACCTGCACACGCGGGCGCGCACAGGTGTGGGTCATTTCTCCCAGATACCCTCGCGCTTCCTGTTAAAAAGCGAGTTTCTATGAGGTCTCGCTCTTTCTTGCCCTTTACCCTTGTGTATCTTGCACACCTGTCCCTTATCATGTCCCCCCCCCATTAAAGTGCACCCACATGGGAGCCGCATGTCTGTCTACTCCTTTTGCGCGTGTCTTGTCCATCCTGTGTTCGTCTACACACCCACCCGCTTTAAAAGAACAATAGCATCTATACATTCTCTTTCATAGAAACATGTTTTATATGCATGTATCTAAAGAAATGTCTTAATTATTGTTATTATATAGCTATTTTAGCTGAAACAAATTTTAAAATACTATTATTAAATAACTCATATAATTTTATCACTTATTAAACATAACTTATAGTTTATGTACTTACACTTACTATCTTAAGTATTATGAGTAGCAAAATTTAAAAAAAGCATACTACTGATCACTTACTAAAGTGCTGCTACATCAACTATATCAGAAATGGACATAAGTATAAATTACTATACCTATAGATAATTTCATACATGACCAGTGTATTTACCCCATTCCCCCACTTCTCCCTACTCCAGCTAATCTTATAGGTGTCAGATTGCTAAGATAAAAACCACAAGTAACAGCTCATGCCAGCAATTATGTGGAAAAGAGAGAATATTCTTTTATTGCTGGTGGAGTAAAAACTTGTACAGCCACTTTGGAACTGAAAAAAACGAGAATAATATCAGATCAAAGGCCCAGAAAATTATTTTAAGAAACTTTTTTGGAAAAAGAAAATCTGACCTAAAGGACAGGCTTTTAAAGGTCTAAAAAACTTACAGAACAACAAAGAGAATTGACAAGAAAAGAAAGTCCCCTCACCATATAATAATCAAAACATACAGACCAAAGAAAATATTAAAATCTGCAAAGGAAAATGCCAAGTAATATATAAAGGAAGACATATTAGAAGTATATAACCAACATTTCAATGGATATTTTAAACACCTGAAGGTGGACAGTTGTTCTAAAGATTCTAAGAGAACATAGACACCAGCCCATTTTCCTATACCCAACAAAACTTAGTTACTATAGAAGTAGAAAAGAAGATAGTCCGTAAAAAAATAAATTTAGAACAATATACATAAATTTATTCCTACAGAGGGTAATAAAATGAAAACTCAAACCAAGGAGGTTAACGACATCCAAAAAAATACAGACAATAAATAACCTCATACCAATAAAACCCTAAAAGGGGAAACACACACACACACTTCCACCATCACCACCAACAACATAGTAACAGGAAGCAGCAATAATTGGCCATTAATGTCTCTCATTATCAATGGACTCAATTCCCCAATAAAAATACACAAATACACACACTAGATGTGAAAACAGGATCCATCCTTCTGCTCTATATGAATAATACAAATCGGCATCAAAGATAAATATTACTTCAGAGGAAAAGTTTGGGAAAAGATTTTCCAAGGACATGGACCTAAGAAAAAAGCAGGAGTATCCATTATCATACCAAACAAAATAGATATCAAATCAAAGGTAATCAAAAGAGATGGAGGACAGTTCATGCTCATCAAAGGAAAAATCAAACAAGATAATTTTTCAATTCTTAGCATCTATGCTCATAATGCAAAGTCACCCATGTTTTTAAAGGAAACACAGCTGAAACTTAAATCACACTTGACTCTCACACATTGATAGTTAAAGACTTCTACATCCCACTTTAACCAAAGAACAGATCATCTGGACAAAAACACAACTGAGATATTCTGGAGCTAACAGATGTTTTGAAACAAATGGACATAACAGACAACTACAGAACATTTTACTCAAAAACAAAAGAATATACTTTCTTCTCGGCACCTCATGGAGTAGTGTTCAACTGTGACCACATATTCAGTGACAAAGCAAATCTCAACTGAAATAAGAAATTTGAAAAAAAAAAAACTGCATCCTATCAGACCACCACAGATTACTACAAACTAATGAAACCTGAACAACTCTGTTCTGAATGACTACTGTGCAAAGGCAGAAATAAAGAAATTAAAGACTTCCTAGAATTTAATGAACATTAATGCACATTTTCAAACTTATGGGACATAATTGAAAGCAATGCCAAGAGGAAAGTATTTATAGCACTAAGAGTTAGCATAAAGAAATTGGAGAGATCTCATACTAGCAGCTTAACAGCACACCTGAAAGCTCTAGACACAAAAGAAGCAAACATAGCTAAGAGTATTAGATCGCAGGGAGTAATCAAAGTGTGGTTTGGAATAAAAAAAAATAGACAAAGAGAACAATACAAAGAATCAATGAAACAAAGAGATGGATTCTTTTTTTGTTTTGTTTTGTTTTGTTTTTCGAGACAGGGTTTCTCTGTGGTTTTGGAGCCTGTCCTGGAACTAGCTCTTGTAGACCAGGCTGGTCTCGAACTCACAGAGATCTGCCTGCCTCTGCCTCCAGGTTTGTGCTGGGATTAAAGGCATGTGCCACCACCGCCCGAAGAGATGGATTCTTAAGAAAATAAAGAAGATAGATAACCCTTATCCAAACTAAATAAAAGACATATAGATAAAATTCAAATTAACAAATTCAGAAAAGTAAAAGGACACATAGAAACAGACACCAAAGAAATACATAGAATCATTAGGTCATAATTCAAAAATCTGTACTCCACAATGTTGTTCCTTTTGGAGACGAAAAGTTCGCACATGCACAGAAGGATCACTGGACTACAATTCCCAGAAGTGGCAGAGGATACAGCACCCCACCAAACTACAATTCCCACAACAAAAAGCCATGCATGTGCAGGATATTTTTTCCCAGACGCACCTAGATACCCCTTAAAAACAGGGAACACCATAACTCGCCCCTTTTCATCTCTTCACCCCCGTCCCTCACCTGTCATTACCCCCCCCATTAAAGTTTACCCACGTGGGACCGCCGTGCGCCTCATGTTTACTTTCCAACCCTGCAGAACAAAAAGAATAACAGTTGGTGCTGTGTGCTTGTGAGAGCTTTTCATCCTGGTATTTTCACCTGAGGCCGTGGCTCCCATTTTTGGCTCCTCCTGGGACAAGGTCAGGACAGATGACCTGCAACCGCCCCCACATGTTCCACTTATCTGAACATGGCCCTCTGACATCAACAGCGGCTAGTTTGTGAGTTCATCTGGGTTGGCTTACCGTGCCCTCTCACCAGGAGATTGTGGAGATTGTCCGGTTGAGCTCCCAGCTTTCTCTGGCATGTCCTGGGTATGGGTGCTAACCCCCCGCCTCGGCCTTCCACCCTCAGCTAGACCTGTTTTTACCTGTGCCTGGAAGCTCAGAGCTTCGAGTTCTCACCTCTTCTTTCTGAACTTTTTCTGTCCTCTTTACGTAGGGGCTCATTACGGTTTGAGCACCTCGGCTGCAATGGGCGGCCTTCCGGCCTGACTGTGTCCCCCTGCCCAGGACTTTGTCTCCCGTCAGAGGCTAGGGTCGGTTCAGTAAGGCTGCTATTAACACTGCCCTCTGCTCACTCGGACACCTGTGTCCAGAGTTTTCCAGTGTTCGTGGCATCTTCTGGGTGCCTTTTGTGGATATTTTCACTGTTCTAGCCATGGGTGCTAAGACTTCAAAAACACTTCCCCCGTCCTCTTCCCTAGGACAGCTTTTGGAAGCTCTTCAGCCTCATGACCTAATTCCTTCCGTTAAGTTATCTGCACTCATCCATCATTGCTCAAAGACATGGCCAAGATATTCGTTACAGTTGGGCGATGATGGCGCACACCTTTAATCCCAACACTCGGGAGGCAGAGGCAGGCGGATCTCTGTGAGTTTGAGACCAGCCTGGTCTACAGAGCTAGTGCCAGGACAGGCTCCAAAGCCACAAAGGAACCCTATCTTGAAAAACCAAAAAAATAAAAATAAAAAAAAAAGATATTCGTTACAGGGGAACTTTAAGTGGCCTCGTCATGGCTCCTTCAACCCTGATATTTTACGGGAGCTAGCTAACTTTTGCCATCATTCAGCTAAATGGAAAGAAATGATGTATATCATGGCCTTCTTTTACATGGCCCTCAAAACTGACACCGCCGCTGCCACTCACGGTTCACCTGCCTACATGTTCTTAGCAATGCCATCCCTCCAGGAACCCTCTGCTCCTGCCATGGACCCTGCAGACAAACCTCCACCCCCTCAGCCTCGAGGGGCCACCCCCTCCCGCTCTGCCAGGTCGAGCGACAGCTGGCCTATTCCTCTTTCCTCCAAAGTTTCTTTTAGGCACAGGAAGGACTCACCTACATCTCTCCATAACACCTCTAAACATTCCATTTCTAGGTCTCCGGGAGTCCCGCGTAAATCTTCTTCCAGGCCACCTAACTGTTCTCCTTCTAGGTCCCCAAGAAAGTCCCGTTCCAGATGTACAAGTCCCTCTGACTCAGCTTCTCCCCATTTTTCCCGCAGCAGATCGCACAGGCAGCTGGAAGCTTCTCCCCATTCTCCCCACCGCAGTTCACACAGGCAGCCGGAAGCTTCTTCGGACTCTTCCCACCACAGGTCACACAGGCAGCCTTCTTTGGACTCTTCCCCATCCCCCTCACACCCTCCCCCTTCCCCTCGATCTTCCAAAGCCCCTCTGGGCTTCCCTTCCACCCGCTGCCTTGCACCTTCTTTCACACCTCTGCTCACGCGCTCGCCGTACCACCGCGGAGTCTCGTGTGGGACACCCAAAATCCCGCCATTGCTAATCACCATTCCCCCATTGTTATTCAGTTAAACAAACCCACCAAATATATCACTCAAGCTCAGTACCTCCTTTCTTCCCAAAGCCTCAGAGGACTAAAACCCATAATTTCTGATTTTTTGAGGAAAGAGCTGCTCCGCCCCACCTCTTCTCCCTTTAACACCCCTATACTGGCTGTCAAAAATTCTAATGGGACTTATCGTTTGGTTCAGGACCTCCGGCTCATTAATTCTGCTGTTGTTCCTTTACACCCAGTCCCCTCACCCTTCTGCCTAACATCCCTTCAGGAACCTCCCACTTCTCAGTTTTAGACCTCAAGGATGCCTTTTTCTCTATTCCTCTCAGCCCTCAATTTCAAAACATCTTTGCCTTCACCTGGACAGATCTAGATACTAATTTCTCCACACAACTAACCTGGACCGTTCTCCCTCAGGGATTCCGGGACAGCCCACACCTCTTTGGCCAGGCTCTGGCCTCTGATCTGCTCTCACTGTCCCTCCTTAATTCAAAACTTGTACTCTATGTCAACGACATCCTGCTGTGTAGCCCATCTTTGGAGACCAGCAGGACTGATACTGCTGCCTTATTAAATTTCTTATCCAAAAAGGGCTATAGAGTCTCATTTTCTAAGGCTCAATTGTACACCACTCAGGTAATGTATTTGGGATTTACCATAACCCCAAGCCAAAAGCCCATCACTTTGGACAGGAAAAAACTAATTCAATCTCTTACAGTTCCTTCCACCAAAGAAGAGGTTTTATCATTCCTGGGAGTGGCTAGTTTCCTGTGTTCCTGGATCCCCACATTCTCCCTCCTCGCCCACCCCCTATATGAAGCAGCTCTCGGCTCTCTGCATGAGCCCCTTTTTCACCCCATCACCAAACCTTTCCAGAGACTCCAACAGGCCCAAGCCCCAGCCCCAGCTCTCCATCTCCAAGATTTAACCCTCCCCTTTTCTCTTTAAGTAGCAGAAAAGAAGGGATATGCTCTGAGGGTCTTAGGTCATCAACTGGGACCCTCCTTCACACCTGTAGCTTACCTGTCAAAGAAGATGGACCTCACCACTCGGGGCTGAGTACCCTGCATACGTGCTTTGATGGCTGCTGAACTTTTTATTCAGAAATAACCGGACCGACAAAGCAGCTAAGACAGCAGCACTCCAGAGCCCAGGTCTGCCTCAGCTACCTCAGGGAGTACTTACAGCACAGCCCACAGCCTTACAGACATCTCCTGACACCCAACAGATCTTTTCTTACCTTCACCAGCTTTTTCATCCCAATGAAAAAGCTCTACTTCATTTTGTAAAAACACATATCAAACCCACACCTGAGGATATCAGGTTCCTAAAAGCTACCATGGCCTCCTGTCAGATCTGCCAGAAGTCAGATCCCAGGACTAAATACCGCAGCTCTCCTTTCCCTACTCAGGGGCTCCCTTCCAGGAACTAACTGGCAGCTGGATTTTACTCATATGCCCACAGTCAGGAAAATTAAATATCTCCTGGTTTTGGTGGATACAATGTCTGGGTGGGTCGAAGCCTTCCCCACCTCTAATAAGAGAGTCTCTGATGTTCTTCTGAGAGACATCATTCCCTGGTTTGGACTTCCAACTTCTCTTCAGTCAGATAACGGCCCAGAGTTTACTTCCCAGATTTCTCAAAATCTGTCTAGGGCACTTGGAATCCCCTGGAATTTCCACATACCGTACCACCCTCAGTCTTCAGGTAAGGTAGAATGGACTAACCACTCTGTAAAGGAAGCCCTCGTTAAAATGTCACAGGAACTCTACCTCGACTGGGTAAGGCTTCTGCCTCTGGCTCTTCTCAGGCTTCGGGCTCTCCCGAAGGGCCCCCTTTTCATTTCACCCTTCGAACTCATGTATGGGCGGCCGGTTTTAACTCCCGGCCTCTCATCGGGAACCTTTCCCCTTCCTGATCACCTGCTCACCCCCCTCCTTTTCCACCTACGCTCACTACTGTGGGAGTTCACAGATCATTCACTACCTCAACCATGTGCTAACACATGTCCACCGCTGGTTAAAATAGGAGATAAGGTATTATTCTCACCTCCAGGCCAATGTCCCTCACCCCGTTCCCCTAAATGGCAGGGTCCCCTCAGAGTAATTCTTCTAACTCCCACAGCTGCCAAACTTGAGGGAATTTCTCACTGGATTCACCTGTTACATCTTAAACCATTCACCTCCATGGCTTAAGACAATCCTCCATATACAGTAACTCAGACAGGACCTTGTTCTCTTAAGTTCCAAAGGACACCAGGTTCAGCCCCCTCTACTCCAGTCTAAGGGAAACAGTGGTCCCATCCTTCACTTAATCCTCCTGTGTTAACACACCCTCCCTACTTTAAATTCCTAAATAACCAACCAGCTGTCATTACAGAAATCATCATCGAACATGGAGCCAAAGTTTCAGGTGGTAAGCAAATTCTTAACAAAGTTCCTTGACATAACAGGTTTGTCACTGACTGCAGCAGTGTCTCCTAAAATGTTAAGGAATACATGATTAAAATCTATTTCTTTTGAGACTTTTTTTTTTTAAGCTCCAAGACGCCAGCCCAAACCACCTGAACGAAGCAGACACAAACGGATCATTAACGGAATAAGTACCATTCAATTAATGGAATAAGTACCATTTAATTTTTTTTATCATTCTTAACCCCAGACCTCCTAAAGTCCCCCCCACCCAAATCTCCCCTTCAATTTCCCAAACCCTCTCTCCCGTTTAATTTTTTCTTTCTCTCTACTAATGCGACTTTTGTTTTCCAGCATCTTAATGATGACCCAGCTACTCAAGAGCCAGACAGATGCAATTTCCAGACAGATACAATTTCTTCAATCAGCCACCTCAAAACATCAGCGGACAGGACATAATCAACAGGACATCATCAGGACAATCAGACAATCCCCAGATCCCTCGATGCCCAAAGCCAGCAGGAAGCAATCATGAGATACCAGGCTACGCCCCCATTCCCTACCTGTTAAGACCCTCAATCCCCCCCAATTTTTTTTTAATAAAACCCAAAGGGTGAATTGTTGTTCCTTTTGGAGATGAAAAGTTCGCAAATGTGCAGAAGGATCACTGGACTACAATTCCCAGAAGCAGCGGAGGATACAGAATCCCACCAAACTACAATTCCCACGACAAAAAGCCACACATGCGCAGGACATTTTTTCCCAGATGCACCTGGATCCCCTTAAAAACGGGGAATGCCATAACTCGCCCCTTTTCGTTTCTTCACCCCCGTCCCTCACCTGTCATCACTCCCCCATTAAAGTTTACCCATGTGGGACCACCGTGTGCCTCATGTTTCCTTTCCAACCCCACAGAAAAAAGAATAACACACATAATTTAAAAATCTAAAAGAAACGAACAGTTGTCTTGATAGCAGATAAGCAATCTAAATGATTTATAAACCCTGAGAAAATAGAAGCAGTCATTAAAATTCTCCCAAACAAACAAACAAACCAGGGTCAGTCAATATTATGCAAAAATACTCAAAAAATTACTTGCAAAACAAATTCAAAAACACATCAAAAAAGATCAAAAACCATAATCAAGTAGGCTTCATCTAAGAGATGTGGGGAAGTTTCAACATATGGAAATTAGTCAATATAATCCACCATATAAACAAACTGAAAAAATGAAATTACATAATCATCTCCTTAGATTCTGAAAAAGCCTTTGACAAAACCCATTTCCCCTTCATGATAAAATACTTGTCAGGGTCAGGGATATAACACAAATATTTAAACACAATAAAGACAATATATACTAAAACTATAGTCAACATCAAATTACATGAGAGAAATGCAAAACAATTCTAAACACAGAATCAAGACAAGGTTGTCTACTCTCTCCATATCTATTCTATATAGTACTTAAAGTTCTAGCTAGCAATAAGTCAACTAATGATCAAGGGAATTTAAACTGGAAGGGAAGAAGTCAAAGTATCTCTATTCATAGATGATAGGATAGTATATATAAGCAACCCCCTCCCCCCAAAAAAAATCTATCGGTGAACTCTTCCAGCTGTTCTGTGGCTTCATACAAGATAAACTCTGAAAAATCAGTAGCCTTTCCATATACAAATGACAAAAAGGCTGAGAGAGAAACCAGAGAAATAAATCATTAGCCTCCTATATGTA